ACTTTAGATTGTCTATTTAAGTAGTCTGCTCGAAAGTTCTACACTAGTTGTGATACCTGAAATCTATTTGAAGATTCCTTATTTAAACTCTCTGGTCCTATGACTTACTTGTTTTTATCTATTTATACCAATTCAGCCTAATCCTGTGCTACTTCTCCAGGAAGACACCCGAGCTGATATATGTCCACAAACTTTATGATTCGAAGCCTAGACCCATCTCAGGTACCCCTTCACCAACTTCCAAATTGATGAATGCTGTGGTACTCAACTATGCTATGCTATATCCCAATCTAGCTTGCATATACCCTTGTTCGATGTTTATACAAACCTGGTTCCTACTGTGGTCTTCCACCAAGTTAGTCATCTGTGCCTCTAGATATTACATGAAGTAGATCCTCCTAAATCTATTGCTTGGTGTTACCTGCTTTGCCGCTGGATATCACACAGGACAGATCCTCCCAAATCTAGTTAGCCGCCAAGCCAGGTTGGTGTTGCCATACGATCTCATGTAACAGACTTACTTGCAACTGTTTCGTCGATCCTTCTGTACTCAGGACTTACTCGTATCTATTTTGCTGATCTTTTCATATGCAGATTTCCTTTCCTAGATCAGACGTTAACTGGTATGACCGTTGAAATCTATACTACTTCACCTAACTCGAGATTTCTACCATGCAGGTCCCCTGTCTGTAGTTCCTATCAAGATTTATTCATATAATATTATGCCTCGCTGAACGCCTCATCATGCTTCCAATACCTGATTGGCATTAGTGCAATATGATTTACAGGGTTACAACCTCAGAAACGAGCAGAGTTTACCGTAAGTTGAATACAGATGTCTAGGTAATTATTCAATTCTGTATACAGTAGAATTTGAACCCTAGACCTCTTGCATGGTGGTCCGGCAACCTAACCACTACACTAAGATCGCCAGACCTAGCTTTTTCTTAATAAAATAATAGGCAAGATTGTCAAAAAAAAAATAAAAATAAAAATAAATTGATATTTTTATATAGATCTATAAATTTTAGTAAAGGTTTTTTGCTATTTTTTTTCTTTAAATATAAGATTCCTTCTGAGTAGATTATATAAAAAATCATTATTTTATTAATATTAAAGTTAAAATCTTTTTATATTAGAATTAGAATTATTAATATTATGAGACATGAAAGTTACTCTAGAGACACATGAGGGTCAGAGGCTAATATGCTGCAGTATCTGCATACAGGTATGCAAATCTCTAACTATTAATAGATTGCCTAAGAATAAAAGAGCTAAAACTCTTTTATGTAATAAAAGAGTTATAGGAATTTTAATAGGAAAAAAAGATTAAGGAGAGAAAGAAGATATAGGGAATTAGTAAGTTTTATTGGTTTTGATATATTTAGGACGTTAAAGTATTAAGATATATTTAAGTACTATAAGTAAAAAAAGAGTTATGTGAAATATATTAATATAAATTGTATATAATGAAAATGTATTCACTCAAAATAAAAGATAACTCTTGATAGTTTGCTTTTATAAACTGAGCTCTTTATTAAATAAATCCTACTACCTAACCCACACTTTCTTTAAATATCCTACCTTTGATACTTTACTAAGTGGCATAGTAGAGTTATCTTTGTGAAACCCATTGATTAAACTATGATTACCATACCCCCTGAAGTGATAATTAACCTGTCCTCTAGTAGTAGAAAAGGTGATCTAAGCTTTAGAACATCTACCTGCTAAATCTAACTGCCTCTTTTGATATAGTTGTCTAGTTGCTAATCAATTACAATATCAGTTTGGTCCCAGTAACCAAACTGTCTGGTTTCATTTGATAGTAACTATGAGATTGAACAGAGGATCTCAATATTAAAGATTATGAGATTCGACAACCTACTTACAAAACGTATTATTATAATGTTAATAATGACTAAATTTGGAATTGAAAACCCAATCTTGAGGAACCTGTAAGCCATATGACATAGCCTAGTACTAGTGAGTTTAATAAGTACTGCGCAAAAGGAGAAGAGATAGCTAACAATGAAAATAGTTATTATGACTAGTAGAACCTGAAATTAGATGATATTTATTAGGTCTTGTCTGACGTATTGTGACAATAGTAATTATCATGTTCAGCTAACTTGATGTACTGTGGTTAGTTGTGATTCTGTTTGTCCAATTGTCCGATATACAGTGACAATTGTGGTTGTATTGTCTAATTATCTGAAGTACTGTGGTAATTGTGGTTCTTTATGAATAAGACATTGATTTGGTTAAGTGTCAATCTCTGATTTGTATTCATGTAAGGATTTTATACTAGAGGTATAAAATAGGTGAGGGAGAAATGTAAGAAATAAAAGTTACTCCAAAGATACGTGAGGGTCAGAGGCTAATGTACTGCAGTATCTGCATACGGGTATGCAAATCTCTAACTATTAATAGGTTGCCCGAGGATAAAAGAGCTAAAACTCTTTTATGTAATAAAAGAGTTATAGGAATTTTAATAGGAAAAAGTGATTAAGGAAGGAAAGAAGATATAGGGAATTAGTGAGTTTTATTGGTTTTGATACATTTAGAATGTTAAAGTATTAAGATATGTTTAAGTACTATAAGTAGAAAAAGAGTTATGTGAAACATATTAATATAAATTGTATATAATGAAAATGTATTCGCTCAAAATAAAAGATAGCTCTTGATAGTTTACTTTTATAAACTAAGCTCTTTATTAAATAAATCCTACTACCTAACCCACACTTTCTTTAAATATCCTATCTCTGATACTCTACTAAGTAACATAGTAAAATTATCTTTATGAAACCTATTAATTAAACCATAATTACTATACCCCCCTGAAGTGATAATTGACCTGTCCTCTAGTAGTAGAAAAGGTGACCTAAGCTTTAGAATATCCACCTGCCAAATCTAACTGCCTCTTTCGATATGGTCATCTGGTTGCTAATTAATTACAATATCAGTTTAGTTCTGATGACCAAACTGTCTGGTTTCAATATAAATAAAATTTCTTTAACATATTTTATTAATACACCAAAGTAGGTTTCGACTGCTGTTTCTTGTATTTTTCATGTTTTTCTCAGCTTTAAGAAAAATTATTTTAGCCAATCAGCAACAAACTCTAGTTTATATAACAGATTTTGTAGATCACAAATATTGACCAATCAAAACAAACTTCCATCATGCTTAATTTTATAATCTCAAATGTTATTGGCTAATTGCCATAATTTTCCTATTAACGTTAATAAATTATCTATAACGATAAGTATTATAATTGTAAATAAGTATTTAGAGAAGTATTTATGAATAAGTATTTTGTTATTGATTTTAATTCCACTGATTAACGTTAATAAATCATCTTTATCTGATATTAGGTAATTGATCGCCAAACGTGATTAACCGCAGCTTATCCAAATCACGTTTGTTGGACCTCACAATAAGAATTCTAAATCCGGCTACCCCGATTCAGAACCGGAACAGCCGGATTCTGAATCGGGACAATTCCTATCCGGAGTACAACATATACAAAAATTTTCATGTGCTCATCAAATGCACGGTCGAGCATTCATTTGAAAAGCAAATCAGCCAATTAAAAATTTTTTAGTTTTTATAACGATATGACATACAGTAGAAGTATTGTTATAATTTTCGATCAAAAGACTTTTACTCTATCACAATTCACATTTTTTGAGCAAAATTTTATTTTATAATCAAAATTTACATAATAGTAATAAAACTCCATTTTTTTTTTGTTTTTAAGGCAACGTATATGAGTTAAACTTTTACTAAGTTATCATCCTCTTATTTGATATATAATTATATATATATATATATATTTATATGAATGTTTTCCAAATGAAAAAACGAGGAAATTTTATAAAGATTTTTAATGTTTTCATTTGGCTACACTCATACACAGTCAATCATTCCAAAACTGATACCCTTAGTAGAATAGGATTTTAGGAGATTATTTGAATCTAAAAAAATCATGTAATATATATAAATCGAGTTGCTAATTATAGAAAAAAAAACTAATACTGTATTTAAATAACGAATTTTAATGTAATAAAAGAAGAAATATCAGGAATGAAAAATTTTTTTATTACAGATTATCAGTTTTTGATAGGGATCAGTTTTGGGAGGGTTGACTGTATTTTTGATCCTACTTGTAGCAAAGAATTAACAATGATAGAAAATTCATGATAAAAGTGTATACACAATCACTAAGAACAATGACAATGGCATGCAGATATTATATTTGCAAGGAGTGGCTCTACCTCTGATCTGAAATGTGTCTACACCAACTAGCAACAAAGATAATTTTAACATATTTCAAACACTCTATATTTAATTAATGTAATAAATAATTTAGTATCACATAAATTTAAATAATAAAATAAAAAAAATAGAGATAAATTAAAATTACCGTTAATTAAAGATTAACTAACTCTGGAAAGTAAAGCAGACGGCTTGTGTATATAGCGTCAGGATGAATAATAGTTTTAGACAAGCTATTATTATTCAACTGATTTCCAATTAAATCCCACCTCTTCTCTTCGGCATTAAAGAATTCTTCCGAAATTGGAGAAGGATTTGGATCATCACAAATACATATAATCCATTTACCTAACAAATTATTTAATTCTGAAGCAGTTGGTCTATTTGATGGTAAAGGATCCCAACATCTGATCATCAGTTCCCTGTACAGATTTGGAATATCTTTAATAACTTTATCAATTTCTGGACGCAAATTTTCAAGACAAATGAGTTTTGCAAGCTCAATATCGTGTGGTCTATCATGCCAGGGTCGAAGTCCAGAGGCTAAAGTCCACATGATAATACCAAAACTATAAATATCTGATGCCTTATTTGGTTTTTGACCACGTAGAACTTCCGGAGCAATAAAAGGGAGAACACCGTATACATGAGAGGAATGTGGCTTGTCACAAGGACCGTGAAGACCGACATCAGCGATACGAGCATCAGTTGAAATAGTTTCATCTTCAATAAGTAAATTACCACCGTGAAGATTTGAATGGAAACGTTTCTCACTATGGATTCTATCTAGACCACTAGCAATACCCCATAGCATATCTATTATATCTCTCCAGGTTACTATTCCTTTTACTTTATCAAGGAATTCATAGATATTTCCATTCTCATAAAAGCGCATTACAAACATAATACAACCGGTGTGATCACGAGTCATTCCAAAACAATCAGCTAAATAGCCACTTTGTAAACATCGGCAGTGTTCTTCTATCTTAATAAATTGAAAAAATAATTGAATATTATTAATAATATATATATAATCATTATATATTTTTTATTAATTTATATAAATTATAATTATACCTGTACTAAAAAGTCCAAATGTATATTATGAGAATTATCCAATCGTTTTAAAGCAACATTGATAGGACCGCTCCGCTCCCACTCCTGATTTTCATCATTCCAATTCCATCTTGGACCCTCCAGCCATTTTGCTTTATAAATTGTGGCAAAACCTCCTTTAGAAATATATTTTATCATATCGAACTGGCTGAAGTCAATGTATTCCAAGTAGTCACATGTTTGAGTAGCGTTTAATTGAGTACGTTGAATTAACTTGTCAATGTGTTCATTATAGCTCGTCCAAGTTTTAAAATGAGAGATCATATAAGAAGTCTCACAGTCTTTGCACCAACCGTAGCTACATCTTTCTTTCCCACATTCCAAGCAAAATCGAAATTCATCATTTTTTGGAAATAAAGTTTTACTAGTTACTGGGTCAACCATCTATTAAAGTTTAGTGAAAAGAAATTAATAATTTGATTACACATTTGATGATTGTTTAAAATAAAAATCAATAGCTTACTGTACAACTTTCTTTCTCAGATTATAGATTCCTGTACTTTAATATAAGGACCGCTTGGTCACGTGAAAAGCAAATGGGGAAAGTGGAATGATGTAGGCGCGTCATTAAATAAGGTCATTGCAGATAGAGTAGATATAATAGAATTGATTGAATTTAGGAAATATAATTAAGTTTAAATAATAATCACGTAGTAGTAGGACTTTCTTTTTTAAATTGAGTTTCGATTCGTTAATCTATCAACAACAACTATAAATTAAAAAAAGAATAGAAGAAATCAGTTACATTTCTCCTAAAAAATCTGAGGTGGAACGTCGATATATTAAAAATATTTATTATAAATATTTTTAACGTTGGACATCCCGGACATTCTAATGATATTCCTGCGAATGTAGGATATTAAAAAAAAAAAAAAAAACCTACGCTCACACCTAAATCATCAACCAACCCCAAATTCTATAAGACGAAATAAATTTCGTCCAAGTAAATGAATAAATTCAAACTTAAAGAGTTTTATATAAGTTTTTTTTTATATAATGTGTAACTGATGTTTCAAGAATTTACAAATAATTTCATTTTATTACAAAAATAGAATTATTTCTCGGATAATCAAAAACTTTTGTTTAATCTTTGATGAGAAGCAAAAATAAGATTTGTTCTAAATGTCATTTAGTAAAAATAACAAAATATGGATTTAGATTTCTTTTAACAACAAAAAAATAGAAATAATAAAATCAAACGGGTTACTATAATGTAAATATTTAAGACCTATTATAAGTTTAATGAGTTATACATTTCCCCCCACTTTAAAATATATTTAGAAAGATCTTTTTTACAAGATAAATTTGTTTTTGCATAATTTGAAATTTTATTTATCCGGTGACCTCACGAGTGTAAAATGAACTTCTATTTTAAAAAATTTTTTTTAGATAAATCTTAAGATAAATAATGATATGCATATCTACGTAAACATTGTTACACGGTTATACAATGTTCCAGAACTTTTTTTCAATAGGGAGTAAGAAAATGTCGCAATAATTTTCAATTTTAATTTGTAGAATTTTGCAAATCATCATCTATTAAAGAATTCTAATGATGCGTTAACGTAATGCGTAAACGACACGTAATGTAATAGTACGTACCTGTATGCCAAAAATTAACATGTTACACGTCTATACCGTATACTCCCTATCGATTTTGATGATTCATAAAGATAATAAATAATAACAATTGTGCTATTAATACCTTTGCTAATAGTTTAATAACGATAGATATAAAACATGATATATAAAAATCAAGAAACTAAATAAAGCTGGAAACACTTATTTCATTACCTTTAACGTAAATAAAAAAATGAATTACATTAAGTTAATTATATGTTTCACGAAATAATGTTAATGCATTGAGCCTCTGCAAACGTTCTCATTTATGATCATCGAATTACATTTGAATTAACACAATGTATATGCATTTCACATGATTTGTATATAACTTTAATTTTAGTTTCTGTTAAACCTTCGTGAGAAAACAACAAACTTTTGTTTATATGCTGTAAGAGATATCATCCCATTGTCCCGCTGTCAATCTTCGATTTCTAGACTTTCTTTAAATCTCTCGATATCCATTGGATAAACTTTATTTTTACTTTACATTCAGAATGATAAACGAAATTCAAATAAGGTAATTTCAATGTCAAAATTTAATTAATAGTACATGTTTTGTACGTATGTAGGAGAGAGTTTTGTGGGGGATATCCATTAAAGTGACACGAATATATAATTGACACGTATGTTTAACACATATCTTTGTATGGGTTAATTAGATAATAGATTGTGTCGAATTTTTTAAACCTTGTTTAATATATTTGTGAGTTTATTTTGTTTCAAATGTATTCTGTATTGACAAATTTGTAATGACTTTCCTAGTAAAGGCTAAATCAAGCATTTCATAAATTAAACGATAGAATTTAACCCGGATAGAAATTGCTGATCTTGATATAGATGATCGTGGTATTAACATTATTAATCTGAAAACAGGGATAATTTCAACGAGTTAATCCCATAAATCAAACTGTGAATTCATTGAATTTTTTAGATAATTAAATAAGTTTATTTGGTCCTTACATAATTACCGGGTTATTAATTACTGTATGTTGGTTTGTTTCATATAAAAAATAATAATTTATCACAATGAGTCTAAACCTCTTAAGAATCTGGAAAATTTAATAATTCTTACCAAATAAATCTTGTTAATGTATATGAATGCTCATTGAGTATATGCGCATTAATGCATAATATATGTTGGAATATACTGCATGATGGGAATCATATCCTATGTGTATTGAAAATTTCACAAATTTTCCGTGTTCTATTTTCGACTTTCTCCAAATAATAATAAAATTGGACAATATTATTTACTCCTCAACTGAAATGTAAAAATTGCAACCCTAGTATTATAGATCTAACTACGGATAAACGATTATTTTTCGGAATGACGATTTTTAAAAGAAATTTTTAATAGAGATGGTGAAAGAAATTGATGAAAGCTTTTGAAAATCCTTGAACATTAGACCGCATAAATAAATTCCAAATGGCCATAGCTCTTTATAAATGTTTCCATTTTAGTATATATGCCGCGCTTGAAGTTGTTTGAAGTTGTACATACCTGACTAAAAATATTCACTTAAAAGTATATCAAAAAAACAAGTTGATTATAGGAAAATTATTATTTAATTTACTGATTATGTAAAAAAAATTAGATTAATTAATTAATATATATAAGGTAAGCATGTTTTAATTTAACGAAGTGCCTAAATTGGAACAAGAGACACGGAAAAATTTTCTTACGTATAAATATATTCATATATAGTGTTAGTGTTACTATTCAAAATTCTTAATATCAAATATCGATATACTGTACGTATAGCGCGAACTAGAGATTATAAAATTATTAAATTATCTTTTCTTCAAGTTCGAAATATCGTTAATATTTAAAACGCATAGAACCTATGTATAGTATACTGTATATCCGCATGTAGTCAACAATTAAAACTAAACCTACATGTGAATTATTCTCCTAACCGTGGTGACAACAGTCGTTTTATACCAATATAATGCTGTAATAACGATAATTACAACAAAGTCGCAGTTTCATTCATTTTTCAAATCTAGTGATCCAAATCGGCAATCAATCTTTCAATCGACCAACTTTTTGCCAACTAAATTTGATTAATTTGATTGATTAAATGTATTGTCACCTGAATTTTGTATTACAATTATTGTATAAGAACAATCCGAGTTTAAAAAAAGGGCTGATAGTAGGGTTGTTAATGGGTTGGGTTGGGTTGAACTAGTCCTCAACCCACTCCAACTTGGGTTGGGTTCACTCCGGAGCCACTCCAGACTTGCTTAGTAGTTGCTCCGGTTCACTCCAGTTTCACTCCAGATTTTTAGTCATAACTTTAACCCACTCCAACTTGGGTTAGGTTCACTCCGGAGCTGCTCCGGAGTATGCTACTCCATTAACAACCCTAGCTGATAGACTTAGTAATTACTCAAGCTATGGCTTTAAGTCACGGCTTGATTTTCAGCCAGCCTAATAGCTGAGTCGTGGCTTGAAACAGCTGTAGCTCGATAGACACAGTATTGGTGAAATAATGATGATTTAATTCTAACCTTTGGTGGTAATAGTTAATCAAATAAATATGTATAAGCAATAGTTAATATTATTTTAACATCGATATTTTTCTAATTTTATCGACGTACTGTACTTAAAATACATGAAAGTTTCGATTTATTAACTACCGTACACAATTAACGTGGCTAGAATAGCTCGAACTACAGTTTGAGTTAGATTAATTCATGGCTCGGTGGCTTAAGCTGATTCAATTGACTTAAACATGGATCAGTTGGCTCAAGCCATGACTCAGCTGCAATTTAAGCCATGTTCTTAGTAGTGGCATATTTCATGGCTTTGCTTCGAATATAATTTCAAGCCGATAACCTCCATAATGATAAGCACAATGATAGAGTCAAAATACCTCGTTTTTGACGCATGAATTGTATGATGCGGACGTTTATTAACAAATTTTGGATTTACGTAAAATTTGTTACTGTAGGCAACTAATACATCAAATAAAATAAAAAAATTTGTTTAAATGACAGTTTACTTTTACATTTTAAGTTAACACAAAATAATATTTCAAAATTACTATCGATATATGCAAAATTATCGTTATAGTAATTTGTAATCCCATGATCTAGTCAAAATCGGATGATCTTTTTGCACCACTCATGTTCGTATCGTTAAAGATAATCGTATTGTCAGTGGATTGCATGATAATTTAATGTCTCGGCATTTCTTGATCTAGAGACCAAAAGAATATGATTCAGTTCTGTATGTTATTGACAAAATAGACATTCTTACCTCATTATTTTGCTTGTTATTTTTCACCGAATATTATTGAAATGTAATAAAGTTAATAATTGCTGTTAAAAGTAACTTCAAAAGTAGAGACATATATTGGAATTAACAATTAAATTATATAACGATAATAATATAGTTTTAAGAAAGATCTAACATGATTTCAGAATATGATCTTCAAAAAACTATATATCTTCGGCATTTATTTTTTTTTTAGTTTAGTGGAAAATTTTAAACGAGTCTAGCCTAAAATAATTGTTTTTCTGAAAAAAAAAAAGCCATAATTTAAATTCGTTGAATTACTATTAATTGCAGAAAGTCGAAAATAGAACACGGAAAATTTGTGAAATTTTCAATACACATAGGATATGATTCCCATCATGCAGTATA